GAAATCAGCATTCCTCACTTGTGCAGCCACCCAGGAGAAATTCCGTCGCCACCCAGCTGATTAGCAGAGTGCCCCCAGCCAGCAGAATGTGTTTGTACTGGTGGTGCACAGCCACAATTGCCTTAGTGCACAGAACATTTATTCCACATGTGGGTGGAAATAATTAGAGGGAACACACAGTTCCTCACCGCTGGATCTTGAACCAGTCTCTCCCCAAGAACAGGGTGGGCCACCCAGGGATCCCCTCCCCATGGGAAAAGTTGGGAGCCCAAGGGCTGTGTAAATGAGGGGATCCCACCTGTGGGAGAAGGTCTAGGGGTAGCAGAAGCTCTGGTGAAGAGCTGATGGGATGAGCCATCCTGGCCTGTAGGCAAGCCCTTCCCCAGCTCTGCCTCTGTGTAGGGGAGTAGGCTCACAAGTGAAATGAGTCTGCCGGCCTCAGCCCAGTCCCCTAGGAATCCTTTGCCCCTACCAGTGTAGCATCAGGAAGACATAAGTCCTCTTCCTGCCTCTTCCTTCTACTACAGGGATGCGGGAGCATGGGCCAAAGGCCAGACCTACCCACACGGCTCCCCCCCGCTACAGCCAGCACATTGCAGAGGGAGCAGCAGCCCACACTGAGCAAATCCACGTCCCTCCCTCACCCAGCACCACGGAAGGGACAGTGGCCCCTGAATCCCAACTGTGAGTCCTTCCGCAGCCCCACGTCCATTCCCTCAGCTGCCTCTTCCCACCCAGCAGTGGGGCAGAGGTGTCATATGCCACCATCAGAGACCTCGCGGAGCCCTACACAGGCACACCAGCACATGCCAACTGTACGGTGGCTCCAGCCTGCAGCCTATACTCCTGGGCCTCTGCCAGGCTCTTCAGAAGACCCCACCCTGCCAGACTCTGAGTATCCACTTCCTGTGCGCTTGTGAGCCAGTTTGTCCCTTAATAGGCGAATTAGCTCTGCCCTCCTCAGCCCCAGGCTGGCCCAGGACACACCACTCACCAGGCAGGCCTGGGGGCTAATCGGGGTAACAGTGACCCAAGGAGGAGGACACACGCCCTCTCCAGCCTCTGTCATCCTCTCCACCCAGCTGTCTGCTCTACAAACCGGCATTCCAGCCCCCTGCTCCCTCTGGGGTCAGAGTGAGGTCACTTTCCGTGCTTGTGTCCTCTGATTCTGCCCCCCAACTTCCATAGGGGTTGGAGCAGCATCCCCCCCCAGGTCCTTCTCTCCTCATAGTCCCTGCCCCCAACTCCGAGAAGGATCAACACAGCATCCTGTTCCCGGTCCTTCTCTCCCCATAGTCGCTGCACCCAACTCCGAGAAGGATCAACACAGCATCCTGTTCCCGGTCCTTCTCTCCCCATAGTCGCTGCACCCAACTCCGAGAAGGATCAACACAGCATCCTGTTCCCGGTCCTTCTCTCCCCATAGTCGCTGCACCCAACTCCGAGAAGGATCAACACAGCATCCTGTTCCCGGTCCTTCTCTCCCCATAGTCGCTGCACCCAACTCCGAGAAGGATCAACACAGCATCCTGTTCCCGGTCCTTCTCTCCCCATAGTCGCTGCACCCAACTCCGAGAAGGATCAACACAGCATCCTGTTCCCGGTCCTTCTCTCCCCATAGTCGCTGCACCCAACTCCGAGAAGGATCAACACAGCATCCTGTTCCCGGTCCTTCTCTCCCCATAGTCGCTGCACCCAACTCCGAGAAGGATCAACACAGCATCCTGTTCCCGGTCCTTCTCTCCCCATAGTCGCTGCACCCAACTCCGAGAAGGATCAACACAGCATCCTGTTCCCGGTCCTTCTCTCCCCATAGTCGCTGCACCCAACTCCGAGAAGGATCAACACAGCATCCTGTTCCCGGTCCTTCTCTCCCCATAGTCGCTGCACCCAACTCCGAGAAGGATCAACACAGCATCCTGTTCCCGGTCCTTCTCTCCCCATAGTCGCTGCACCCAACTCCGAGAAGGATCAACACAGCATCCTGTTCCCGGTCCTTCTCTCCCCATAGTCGCTGCACCCAACTCCGAGAAGGATCAACACAGCATCCTGTTCCCGGTCCTTCTCTCCCCATAGTCGCTGCACCCAACTCCGAGAAGGATCAACACAGCATCCTGTTCCCGGTCCTTCTCTCCCCATAGTCCCTGCTCCCATAGGGGTCAGAATAGCATCAGCCCCAGGGCCTGTTCTGTACCATGTCCCCTGCCCACAGCCTTGTGCTGGCCGAGCTGCAGCCTGAGTCCCAACGCCTGGCATGGGGAAGAGAGATGGACTTTGGAGAGGCCCCATCCCAGCACCAGCAGGCCCTGGAGCATCGGTACGACACCCCTGCTGCATCCATTGTCTGGGCTGGGGGGAGCCTTGGGAGCATGTGGGGGTCGGTGCATTGCCCCGGTGGCAAGGGGGAGCAACTGGCCTTGGGGCTGGAGGGCAAACTCCAAGTGTTCAGGGAGGTGGGGGCTGTGCCGGGCCTGGGCTGGGGCAGGAGGTTGTGCCCAGCCCACGTGTGGGGCACAGCACAGATGGGATGTGGATCCCTTTGGGGATTGCTGCCCTAACATTAACTGCTCCCCTTGCAGAGCCACCGTGCGCAGGAATGTGGGTCTGATCCGGCTGCAGCGGCTGCTGCAGGAGCAGAGCTGTGAGCTGGCTGTGAGCAGAGGCCGGTTCGCTGAGCTGCATGAGGTACATTAGCCCCTGTCCTGTGTCCCCCAGTGCTCAGGTCCCCGTTGGCCTCTGCCACCCAGGGGTGGGCATGGGAGATCCCCCTGATACCCAGCCCCTGGTGCGTGTGAAACCGACTGAGCCAGCTGTGTGGGGGGGGGGGGGGGGGGGTGGGCCGGGGGAGCTCCCCTCCTGCCTTCAGCCATCATGAGCATCTGCACCTCCGGTTCGGGGTCAGCACAGCACCCCCCACTGTCCTCCCCAGCTCCCACAGGGGCAAGGATGCACCCTTAGCAGTACATTGTTTTGCAAACTGGCCAGCAGCCTGGCTCAGTGCCAGCTTGCATGGAGTCCACTCCCAAGGAGCCCCTGCCACTCCACGCTGCTGCCTTTGTATCAGAGGTAGAGGCGAGGGGTGACAGGCAACCCCGTCCGCAAGGGGAGTTGGTTTGTAAACTGGCTCCCGTCTCAGGCCAGCTCCTGCCTGGCACCCCATGCTGCTGCCTCTGTATCAGAAGCAGCAGCACAGGAGTGGAAGGGGGCTCCTCGGGAGTGGGGCCAGAGAACATAAAAAAGGCCGTACTTGGTCAGACCAAAGGTCCATCCAGCTCAGTCTCCTGTCTGCTGACAGTGGCCGATACCAGGTGCCCCAGAGGGAGGGAACACAACAGGTAATCCCCATGTGATCCCTCCCCTTTCACACACCTCCAGAGAAACAGAGGCAAGGGACACCATCCCTACCCAGCCTGGCTAATAGCCATTGATGGACCTCACCTTCATGAATCTAGCTAGCTTTTTTTTGAACCCTGTTAAAGTCCTAGCCTTCACCACATCCTCTGGCAAGGAGTTCCACCAGTTGACTGTATGCTGAGTGAAGAAAAACTTGCTGCCAGTCCTGCCCTATGGGAACCATAGAACAGTTGAGTAACCAATAAGAATGCATGAGGTTAATTGACTATTCAATTAACCAATATTTAACATCCCTACATAGGGACAGTGCAGCATCCCCCCAGATCCTGTTCTTCCCAGAACCCCTTCTAGTACCAGGCACTGGCCCAGACCAAGTGTGAGGGGCAGTTCAGAGGCCACAAAGAGCGGCCGGGCCCAAAGGCCTCCCAAGTCAGCTCCTAGCAAATCACAATGCACGCACCACTACTGACGACAGCTGCTTTCTCTTTCCAGGCCTACGAGAGCCAGCTCCAGCAGGTAACGAACCGTGTGCGGGTGCTGCCCTCTCAGCCCTGATGGGATTTCCCCCAAATGGGAGTGCCTGGGCCAGTGTGAAAAGAGCACCCCACTGAGACCCCTCTATTGGGACCCACCTGCCACCCCCAGGAATTGATGGGACCAGATGTCCTTTCCCCCTGCCCAGGATACAGTCACTCTGTATCAAGCCCTAAGGAGACAGCCCCCACCCCCTTGCCCCTGGCTTTCCCCCTCAGTTCTAGGTCCCAGAATCCCTGCCACGGGGGGGCACGCACCCCTGCTGTCTTTCTTCCTGTCCCTCCCCCACCAGAAGCAGGAGATGGTGAGAAGCACCAGCGAGGCCCTCCTGGGCCAGGTGGAGGAACTCACTCTGCAGCTGAAGGCAGAGAGGCAGAAGGCGAGGGCACTGGAGAGCCAGAAGCAGAGCATCTCATCTCTGCAGGGGGTCCTGGAGGAGGTAGGGAGCCCATCCAGCTAAGCCCCGCCCTGGAGGACCCCTCTTTTCCCCGCTCAGGGGCTGAGGGGACCAGGGCCTGGGGGAAGGGTCCATTTCTAACCCCAGCGAAGAGCCTGACGAGCAGCTGGGAGCTGGTCTCTGTCAGTTTCAGGAGAGAATCCGGCACCTGGAGAAGGAGCGAGACCTGCTGAAGGAGGATTACGATGCACTGCTGGAGAGGTGAGACAGAACCAGCCGAGTCCCAGTCCCACTCCCCAGGGCACGTGAGCTGCCAGTGCCCATTGCCCTGAGCCCCACAGATGTCTTCGCCTGGGCTCCAGTCACACCAGCTCCCTCTGATGCCTGGCAGCAGCGTGGGGTGCCAGGCAGGCGCTGGGGGTTCTGGCCGGCAGGGCACAGGGGAAAAGCAAACCCAGAGTCTGCCAGAGACAGGAGAATGACTCCACAGGGTTGACCCCAGAGGATGGGGAATAGGGGGTGTTAAACTCACCCCAAATCTGGTACTGTTTGGGGGGCTGGCAGAGCCATAGGGACACCCCCTCACCCTAAGTCTGCCATGATGGGCGGGCTGGCAAAAACTGCCCCAGCCACCCTGTTGTGCGTGCTGGAGCCCCCCCATGGGGGTCCCTGTAGCCGTGCACCTCTCCTTGCAGCAGTCTGGCCCATGAGCAGCGGAGGGGGGATGTCTCCCGGCTCGAGGAGCAGCTGAGCTTGGTGTTGGCAGAGAAGCAGCAGCTGGCAGAGGAGCTGGCACAGGAAAGAGGTAGCAGAGCTGGTGGGCAGTGTGGAGGGGGCTCTACACCTGCACGGGAGCAAGGGACTGAAATGGCAGCATCATGCCATGGGGGTGTTTGCATTGCCACCATGCTGGGGGCACGACCGTCTGGGGCCGGCTCGAGGAGCAGCTGAGCTTGGTGTTGGCAGAGAAGCAGCAGCTGGCAGAGGAGCTGGCACAGGAAAGAGGTAGCAGAGCTGGTGGGCAGTGTGGAGGGGGCTCTACACCTGCACGGGAGCAAGGGACTGAAATGGCAGCATCATGCCATGGGGGTGTTTGCATTGCCACCATGCTGGGGGCACGACCGTCTGGGGGGGGCAGAAGACGGTATTTGCATTGCCACCATGCTGGGGGCACGACCGTCTGGGGGGGGGGGGGGGGATTTGCGTTGGCAC